GGGGATCCATGTTTCGTCAACGGTTACGAAACGCTACAAAAATTCATTCGAATCTGGGCTGAACATCGCCAAAAGCTCCTTTGAAATGATTACACGATTGCGTTCATGGTCGAGTGTGAGTAAGCGCGGCACCCATCGCTCTGATACCTTTTTCATAGCCAAATATTCACGGAGTCACTTGTGCTGATACGACAACAACGGAATACAGTAAATAACTTTTTAACCATTGAAATCGATGGCGCAGAATCTCTAAAGTTTTTATTAAGCCTTTTCTGGTTTCGGTAATGGATTTTTTACTAAAACAAAAAAATAGTACCTAAATAAGCACGCAAAATTAATTTCTTTAATGTTCGTTAAAATTCCATGGCTGTCAAACACAAACTAAATGGCGCAGCTTGGTCAACATTTTACAGTAGTATTTTAATCGATGGCAGTTGACGGGAGCAGTATTGCATTTAAAGTTACTGCGCGGGAAATTCCAAAGGTCAAATGACTTTTCAAATTGCCCTCGTATGTAAAGGTTGTACACGATATTGAATAAATCGTGATTTTATGTCGTTAATGTAAAAGTGGTATGCGATTAGATGCTAACAAAGCTTTAGCTAACATTTTATACAAAAATTCTTAAACGCAACTAAGCAATCAGGCTACGAAAATTTGGTAATGCAAGAAAGAATAATACCTCCTCACAAATCCGTCAAGCTTGCTGACCTACTTTTCCAAATAATAATAATAATAATAGATTGGCGCTTCCACAATATGTTAGTGTTTGGTCGAGCTTCTCCTCCGATTTGTGGCGTCCGCTGTTAAGAAAAAACCTTTTTTCTATAATTTTTTTTTTGATGTTGCTTTGACCAGAGTTTGAACCCAGGCCCTGCGGAGTGGTAGTGCGCACTGCTAACCACTACACCACAGCGGCCGCTTTTTCAAATACTGATGCAAATTAATCAGGAATTAGGTGTGCTTTAAGGCCACAAAAATTAATTTATGTGCTCAGTTAGTTTCCGAGAAAATTGCAATTGACCCATAGTCAGCCAGCATGCCGTTACACTAGTTGACTCAACCTCAACCTCAATGTCGGCGAACACTGGTAAATAATATTAAGAAATTAGCTGCTATTTAAGGCCACCAAAATTATTTTAGGTGCTTACCTAGTTTCCAAAGAATTCGAAAAATGTATTTGGGTCAGCTGGTGTGTTGTCATCAAATTGACATTTAAACACCACTTAAGCAGTTATAAGTTAAACTTACAGTAAAGTTGCTCGTTTCGTTCCCCAGGCGTACATTCGGTATTAACCATTTCACTCGATTTTCCAGTGTCACTTCCTTTTCAATTGACGAACATGAATAAATAACTGAAGAATCGATATTGTGAAGTCATTTGTATGTGGACGCACGTGCAAATATAGTTATATGTATAAGCAAAAGTCAAACTGACGCTAAAATGTCACAAGTTCAAACTATTTGAACAATATCAGTACTCTTACCATTGAGTGAAGACTGCCAATCGGGTGAATAAATAAGCGCACGCAAACCTAAACGAACCCAAGGGGCAGAAGAGCATAAAGAAGAACATTAAACGAATCAAATTCTACAACAAAGGAGTCAGTTGTACTGCAAGCGATACATGTATGTATGTACATTTGGTATAAAGCAAAAAAAAAAAAATCTCGAGCCCTTTACTTATGGCCATACATACATACTTATGTATGTATGTATAAACATACATTCATTTGTACATACGAATTTTTGCTTTAAGCCATCAATCAATTTCCCCTTCAAGTAACTTTTCGCTTAACGAGGGCAAGGAAATGCGGTATCGCAAATACAGAAAATATAGTTGGAACTCTGACGATCAAATCGTTCGATTAGCTAGGTAAGTTTGGTTAACTTGATTGTGTTTTTAAAGCCAGTTTAAATTGAAACATCTTAATTGGAAATATTTACAAAGACATAATTGATATTGAAAACTAAGAGATTTAATTGAACTGGAAAACCTTAAAGCCGTATTCAGACCCATTTTGGTAGCTCAGTAAAAGTTTCGAGACTTTTCACGTTTTCAAAGTTATCCAGTTGTGAGAGGACACCCCTGATTTACTCGTACATACTTTCAAATACAAGTTTTCGAAACTTTTTAGTTTTATTTTTCGTCAAGTAGTTTGTTAAACTAAGATTACGTTTTTTAAATTTGCATTGTTAAAAAATATGCCATTCAAATTAGTATAAAATTTCTTGTTTTTCTTTGATTTTGGTTAGATTTATCTGCTATTATATTTTACGATTCTATAAATCTCTAAAAAAAGTTATACCTTAACCAGACCAGGGGGCCAATTCTGGTTCTATGAAACTGTGAAGTGAAAATTAAAAATTCAATGTCAGTGAAAATTTAATTTGTTCCGTTTATCGTTTCTGTATATCATTTTAAGCGATTCTCGAACATTAAACGCTACTCCATTAACATCTAGCAAGTAATTATTCAGTAAATTATTGTGAATTTAAGACAATGATATTCTTCATCGCAAGATGATGCCTTTGGGAACTTTTCTTTTCCACAGCCACAAAACTTTGTGAAAAAAAGTGAAAACGCACACAGTGAAAAATTTTTGAATAATTAGTGATGAAAAATGTTTTCACTTCACGTTTTCACAGAACAGGAATTGGCCCCAAAAACTTTTAATAAAAAGCAATAAATCAGTCACATTAAAAACAGATTTTTTAGATAAGATTCCCTATAATTTTAACTAAAAGTAAAAATATTCCAAGTGAATTTGATTTTTTTAGATAGATAATCTTTAAACTGAAAAGAAACATCGAAAACCTCGAAAGTCTCAAAGCTTTTTATAAAATGTTTAGTATGATATATTGTACATATAAAAGAAAGCTATGTGTGTACGTACGTATGCGTATATGAATGGACCTGTAAGCAAACACCTGCTGGTATTCCCATTCAATCGTGGCAAATAATTTTTGTGCACGCCATTTGCATTGAATGAACCTCAGCCATTCATGATGCATGCCGTCTACATGTGTATGTTTGCGCCATATGTGAACATACATATGTATGTATGTATGTATATAGGGATGTAAAAAGAATACTGGAAGAAAATAGGTCAAATAAAACTACATACATATTTCAATATAAAAATGTACTACATATACTAGGAAAGAAAAAGCAATGCAACTAAAGAAAAGTGCAATTTTCCTTTAGTTTATTTAATGTTTGTTATTTTTTTATGAAAGTATAGCTGATTACTTAACAAGCACCATATAAATCTAAATTTCAGACGTTGTGTAAAAATTATGAAAATTCTGCAAATTTTTACCAAAATCCCTAACTTTTTTTGGGATGTTGCTTCGACCAGGGTTTGAACCACGGTTGCCAACTTTTGCATTATTGAAACCGGGACATCAACTTCACTGATGTATTTTGAATATTTTCTATTTAAAATAAGAAAACATAAAAAATATACATATAGATAAAAATTTCCATAATACAAAATTTCAATGCTAATACTTTTAAATAATTTAAAACAAAAATTAAAGTTGAAATAAAAATCACACCAAATTATAAATTATAAATTTCTATATACATATGTATGTATTTGGCAAGGGGAATTTTTCACAATGTACATATGTAACTTTTTTACTTAAATTTTTCCTCGAATTTTTTATAAAAACATAGTTCATACTACAACAAAAACATAACAATTTATCTAAACTTCGTTCAAAACTCAGGAAAATTCAATAAATTTGGATACAAGTTGACACTGTTTTTTAACGTAAGTGCCAGTCTGAAGTTGGTAAAAAATCGCGTTGATTTTTGGCAGTTTCTTCCAAACAAAAAATTGTAAATATTTTGTGTGCTCATCTTGTTTAAAATGAATTCGTCACTAAAATTTTTGACTTTATTGTCGATTAAATCGCATATGTAAAATATACATATATGTATATGAATGTATGTACATTAGGCTGGGACAATGTTGATTTTAATAAATCGCATGGTATTTCCTGATTCTGCAGATAATTCTAAGAGAGAGTATAGAAGAAACCATGGCTCGGTAATGAGTTTCAGCCAGCACATTTTTAAATGAAAAAATACATTTTCACGATATTAGTTTTTTTTTAACCTTTTCTTAAAACTTTTGCATACAAAATGTGTATATTTAAGTTTCTTACATTTCCTTTCTTTATAAAAACCATTTTTCAAAATCGTACCTACAGGTGAAAATGTGCCAAGTCCATTTTTTGAAGTTGTTCAGTCAGGAGAGACGAAAAATCGATATAGTTTTGCATTATTTTTTTTTTTTTTTATTTATTTTTTTTTTTTAAAGTGGACTTGGCACGTTTTCAGCTTTAGGTAGCGCAATAAATCTGTTTTGTTAAATTTTAACTTAAAAGATTAACAAACATCAAAAAGAAACGGTTTTTGTATTTTAAGAACAAAAACTTGATATAAAGGCGTCTAGGACTTACCGTTGATTTTTGATAATTTTTTTTGCTGACTGTGCCTCTTCCATACAAAAATTACTTTTTTTCAATAAAAAACGATAAAAATCGACGGTAAATCTTAGCTAATTGCACTTTATTTTAATAAAATTGAATGTACCACGAAACTATACTAAAAATCTTTCTAAGAAATCCATCTAAAGCGGTTTAAATTTTTACAAAAGTTTGCTAATTTTTTTTCTAAATATTGCACAAAGTTTTAAACTTAGATTTATACGACTGTTGTTAAAGAGTAAACCATATCTTTACAAAAAAATAACTAAAATTAAATGGCAAAAAAATAAATTGTTAGAACTTGTCAATATGTGGTGCGTTTATAATTTTGACACGGATTGTCGACTTTCTAAAATCAGCATAATATGTTATATTATAACGAAACAATAAAATTTTGAGAACAAGTTAATTTTTCTTTTAAAAATGCGCAGGCTAGAGACCCATTTCCGACTTGTAGTTTCTTTTACATTTTCAGTTAGAATTATCTAGAGAAATCGAAAATACCATGCGATTCGTCGAAAAACTGTCGCCTGAACAATTTGATCACCTTAATGTACATATTTTAAAAGTTCTAATTTTTTTTACTACGAAAAGTCTAACATTTTTTCTTCCCAAAAACCGGGACATTTTGCGTCCCGGCATGTGTTGTACCGGGACCGGGACATAGCTCTAAAATCCGGGACAGTCCCGCCGAAAACGGGACGGTTGGCAACCGTGGTTTGAACCCAGGCCTTGCGGAGTGGTAGTAGGCTATGTTATATATATTCTAAACAATATACAATAGTAAACTTGCGGTGTAGCTCTCCGCCAAAATTTGGGTAGCAACATTACTTACCCTGGGAGTGTAAACAGAATCAAATTGCTGAGCGAACTTCGTCGGAAGAAAGTTCGCTGCCAAAATTAAAACACTCTGCAGTATATGAGATTGCACACAACCAAATCGGCGACGAAGACGAAGTTCGTCTGACGAAATTCGACGAGAATAGAGAGATTTAATTTTAATTTTGCCGCTGCCGCCCCGCACATGTGTCAGTGATAAAAAAGCTTCGTTTCTTCATTTTTCTAGCAGATAATTATCAGGAAAAGGCAAAAAGGGAAAATTTGCGGACTAATTTTTTCTCTTTTGTATTTTAATATTTTTTATTTGTCATTCATTTGATGCGTATTTCTTTTCGGTTCTGTTTAGGTGAAATGTTGCGGCTAATATCAATCGACGGCATCGCTCTGTCCGACGAAATTCGCTCAGCGATTCGGTTCTGTATATTTGAGAATAGCAAAATAAAGTATGCAAAAAGCAAATATTGCGATGGAGATAATACCGGGTGACTTTCGCAAATTCTTACTCATAGCATTGATTGAGGTTTGGGAAAGCTTTTGTAACAAAACTTATGTGATAAAAGCCACATTATATGAAATGCAATTTACATAAATAAAGATTAAATTAAAAAAAAAAATGTCCGTGAAAAAGCGTGCGTGAACGTGTGTTGAGGCCCAATATTTTAGTGTTTGGCCGAGCTTCTCATCTCCTTCGATTTGTGGCGTGCCCCTTCGTGTTGTCACACACAGGGCAGGGACCCACAGTTTTACACCGACCCCGAACGGCGATGGTATTTTATGAGAAGCTGTTTTTCATGGCAGAAATACACTAGTCGGAAACTGGATTCGAACCCAGGGTCTGCGAAATGTTAGTGAGCATTTCTAACCACTACACCACAGGGGCCGTTTGTTGCTCTTAAAACATGCCTCAGAGAGCATTTTTTACTGCTATCTTAGGAGATTTCCCATTGGACTCTTAAGTGGGATATTAATGAAGTTTCCCTCGAGCCTTCGATTGCACATCAACCAGAATTAAAACTGAAAAACAAAAAGGAAACGTGTCAATTATTTTAAATTTACACTCAAAAAAAAACTTCTCTTAATTGAAGAAAAACAGCAATCAAAATGAAGAAAAATGTGAACGAAATAGCACTAAAGAAGTTTTATCCTCTTTTCATGCCCAAAATTTCTTCAAAATGATAGATTACATCCACAGTTCCATATATTGGTGTACGTTTTTACACATTCCAAAGAAAAATTACTCATTCGGGAGAATTTTTTATTCATTCGGAAGAATTTTCGACCTTAAAGTAAGAAAAGTTTTTCTTTGATCCAGAGATGGATTTTTGGTTCAGTGTACTAGGTTAATAAATAAATTGCACGTGACGAATGATCCACATATGTACAATTAACTTATACACTAAAACAATTTTTTTTTTTTTTTTCAAATATTTTGTCTTTGTATTTTGGGCACCATCCAAGTCCATGGCCAGAAATGAGGCACTTTCGTAATAGAGTTGCTTCGACATCAGCCTTAAAGTATTGCCTGCCCTAAGCATA